GAAAATCTGCAGCAGCACGAGAATGAGGATATCTACAAACTAGCCTTTGAGATTATCGATCAGTACTTTTCAGGAGATGATGTGAGTTTATCACCAGTGATTTTACACTTTAAGATTTTCATCTGTTTTTCTTGCGCAGTCATCAAATTATCATGCATGTCTTTTTCAGATTGATGAAGATCCCAGCTTGATCCCTGAAACCACTCAAGGAGGAACCTTTAATTTTGATCCAGCTTCCAACATGCAAACAAAGGAGTTTAATTTCTGAAAGCCAGGATGTTTGGTTCAACCAGCTGCACGGGTACTCTGTAATCACCCCAGACATTCATCCATCTCTCCTCCAACCTGGCAACCTGGTACCGAAGGATTTACTTAGCATCACTTCAACATGGAAACTCACCACTGAAGGATTTACCCACCTCTGCACTGCGGGGTGTTTTTTCTTTTTAAATGGTCATCCTTCACAGAACACGGCAACCCTTCATAGGAGACCTGGTCACTCAACAGGCACCATCACCATCTGGCAACCTGCATCAGGAGGATTGTCAGTATTCTCTGCCAGTGCTTCTAAATATCACACAAAAATAAAAACCAGAAGGAAGAAAAAGCCTTCATGGCAATATTTAATTGCCAAATGTCAAGTCCTCACAAAGACAAAAACACAAGCACATTTCCAGACACACACACACACATATACACTCTTTTTGACACCTAGAATTTGTGTGCATACTTCTGTTAGAAGCCATCATATCACTTATGGGGAAGAAATACTGCTGTTTGTTTGTGGTTTATTTTTGTGCTTTCCCTCCCCTGGATTGTCCTCTGGTGTTACTTCACCCTCATGCACGCACACTGACATTCATGTACACACATCAACACACTTAGTCACACTGATACCTGATGGCCGGGCACCCAAATAACCCCCTCTCACCCAGTTTAAAGAGTTAATCCCAGAGCTAAGCCATGATTAACCACGGACCCCCACTGCCCTCCCAGGAGACTCCTGGGGCAGGTGGAGGGGTGAAAGGGCTCTAAGGCAAAAAGAGGACTCCGTGGCAAACTGACTGATGGGACTTCTGACTCAATGACGTCACTTTTTTTAATGTGACCTCTGTTGAATTATCAAACTTAATGTTTGTTTAAGAAAATCATCAAAAATGTGAAGAAAATGCCATAATATTTTTTTCCAATTCATACAACTGTAAGACCTGCTAATTGCCTGCTTCTGATTCAGCAGAGCGACAACATTTTTGTTTTTTCCGGATGTGAATACCTGTCACAGGAGGAAGCAACTTTAGGTGAAGGCGCAGAGACTTAAGAGAAAAGGAACATGTCAGCTGTAGCATTTATCCCCCTGCCCCCCCCACAGGACATCCATTTGTGCAACATGAGCTTGGTCACGCCTGTGATCCAGTGAACTGTTTGCTCAGGACTCCCCTGTAATGTGAAACTCAGAAAGGGGGTTTAACAAAAAACAAAAAAAAAATCAAACTTAAATCAACCCAAATTGCTTATCTGACTTTAAGCTTATTTTAATTCTTTTAAACCTTCAATCAAATATTTTAGGTTCATGTTTCAGCTTCCTCTGGTTGAGTCTGTGGAGCTTCCATATGTCTGTTTTTGTTTTTTCCTTCTCTTCAGTCTTATGCACACGTCTGAGAGGCATATTGATGTCTGCCTGCAGAAAGGGACCTATACTCACTGAAGACTAAGCTTGTATAAGGAGTACAGGTCCTGAACTTTACTATACTTAACTACTTTCAATGAAGAGGTCACATGTCATCACTCAATTTGAATAATTGTAGAAAAATGTGATGTGTATCTCTCCTTGCCGTCTAATGAATATATGAATATATTTACATAAAGCCTGTACAAAGCTGCTGCAGCTGACAGTCATTGGATGGACGATAACCTTACTGTCAAAGATGGCTGGGGAGGTTTTTTTTTTTTTTCTTTTCTTTTTTTTTTTTTCTTTTTTTTTTGAAGCAATATTTCGTTGTTTCATTGTTTTTATTTTTGACTTGCATATGTATTGTGATGACATGCTGATAAATTGGAACAGGCTGTGTTTTTCTTCTCTTCGTAGTGGTGACGGGCTGTTTAAAATGTACCGTCCCATGTCCCAGTTGGTGTGTTGGTTCGGGTTCGAGTTGTCAAAAGTCTTGAGCCCGACCCTAGCCCTGGTCTCGAAGACTTTATGATCCTCTGGATGGCTGCTAACTACTGAGAGGGGGTCATAGCAGGGGAGGGAGGGGGGTCACACTGGGGTTTTAAATATTGGGTGGGGTTGTTATGAGCAGCCCAGGCTTGTTTTTGGGACTAGCTGTTTATTACTGAACAAAACTATAGAGAGGGTGTACAGTCATGAACTAGCAGACTAGACCGAGCCACTTTAAAGATTTACAATTTCGTTGCCTTGTATCTGAATTGGATACAAGCTTATGTTTGTTGCAAGATTTTTACTTGCTAATGAAAAGTTGTTTTAAATAAAATAATAGGAGAAAAGCAACAGACAGCGTTTTGGCCTCTGATTGTTTATATCTTTTTATAAATTTTAGATTGAATTCTTCTCTTTAAGGTGGCTCATTGATGCTTTCAACTCTTGTGCATATTAAAGACAAGAATGAGTTGAAAATCATTGTGCCTTTTGTTTTTCATTTCAACTAAAACTAGGTTTTATTGAATAGAAAAGATTCTTTGAGCGACTGGAGAATTTTGAAATGGGAGATGTGGCTGCAGTAATATTATGTGGCCTCCCTGTTGTTGGAGTTTGCCATGGGAATGGTCAATGCTGCTCTCTGCTGTTGAGAGTAACTGCTCCCCTCCAATCTTACCCACTGAACATTGTAACACACCATTTCTCCCACTCACTACCCCCCCCTCCCTCCCCACCATATTGCCATATTTCAGTCAGGGGATTTTGATATCATCTCCTCTCATCTCGCCCTCAGGACATGATCTGTGTTTCTGATCCTAACCAAAATAAACTTGCTGTTTAGCCGCTGGATCCTCCATGCCTGCAAGTGTTGTGATTCACACATACAGTAGCTGTTGGTTAAATTTAAGTTGCATGAATGTGAATGTGACTAGCTTTTAACAAAGAGATTCCAAGTGTGTGAGAGACAGACCCATTTTTTTTTTTTTTTGGTTTTTTTCATGCTCTTGAATTTGTTTTCAAGATCTGCATCACTTCTTCTCTGTGGATTGATCATATCTTGTCAAACAGAGTTTTTAAGTTCTCTTACTCCTCATGGTTTTTCTGTGATGTGCTCTTTACATTACAGGTGAGATCCGTCAGCAACAAAAACAGTATGGGGGTCATGATGGTCCTGGATTCCTCTCCTCCTCCAGGTGATGTTTGTGAATTCACTTCATCCCAAAGAAACATCTGACTCGTGTACAGCAGTGGGGACCCCAGGCTGGTTTCTGGCCCACACATTTTCACTCCTGAAAATGAGGTTACACTGAGCACTTGGAACAGCTCATTGTGTATTCAACATGTTTTGTTTTGTAAGTGGCATAGTTTCTGTCTGCTGAATCCATGCAAGTGCCTTGGTGAACACACTGACTTGAGGGTAATGATTAACCTCAGGCCTGCAGACACTGAATTTGGGTTTTGGATGGGGTGTGTATCCAGAAAGTGCATAGTAAGATAACAGGCCTGTAAGTGGAACATTTACGCTGCTCGACCTAGATCCAGATTCCACAGGCCCCAGGTTTACTGTGAGGCAGTTACTTTGGTAATTTCATTGCAATTTTTGGGTACAGTATATGCACAGACACAGAAAGATGTAAATTGAAATGGTAAGGGCCTTGAGGCAGCTCTGGCTTTTTACCTAATCAAAAGGTCCTGTCTTGTATAACTACATCAGCATCTAACTTTAATGTATGCATAATGACCAGAAACCGACACAGCAAAACCTGAGGCAGGAGAGTTTTCCATCAGAGAAATGATCTGAGCTGAGATCCTGAGTTCACGTTTGACCTCGGAGAAACAGCAGTTGACAAAACAATCGCACCACAGTAGCTGTTCTGGAGCTTTCTATCATGTTACACAATCTTCCTCTGCAGATGGAGGTGCCCAAGAAGATTGTCTTTGATAGTTTTTTTTTTATCAGTTAACTTCTCACAGTGTAGTAAAAAGAAAAAAAAATCCTTTAAAATGGCTCCAGTTCTTCTTGGTACACGTGCACATAGTTTTTGGCAGGTCGGTTGTTCCAAGCATCTTGGAGAAACTTGCCTCAGTTCTTCTGAGGGTTTAGTCTTTCTCATTGTCTCCTGTCTCTTCATGCAATCCCAGACTGACTCCATGATATTGGGATCAGAGCTCTGTGGGTGCCAGACCATCTGCTGCAGGACTCCTTGTTCTTCTTGTTGCTGAAAATAGATCTTTATGACTGGCTGTATGTTTGGGGTCATTGTCATGCTGCAGACTGAATTTTGGACACCTCCATCTTTTTCGGACACCTCCACCTCCATCTCCTGTGGAAGACCATGAGCTGTGATAGATTAATTTACCAGGGGGTTCTAAGGGCAAAAATGTGGTATTGGGCCCATATTGATCCCCAGCAGGTTAATAATTTCATAAGACAAACAGAAACCCACCTGTACAACTGAAAAGATACATTTATCATTTAGTTCTTAAGAGAAAATGTTTGATTTAAGAGAAAATTAGTTGGCAATGCATTTGATAACTGATTAAAGATTTTTTTTTTTTTTTTTTAAAGCAAAATGCCCAAAATTCACCAGTTTTCCATTTTAGGATTTTTTGAATTTTTAACAGTTGGTTAGAAGAATATGTTAATTTCTGCTTCAGGTAATTTTATGTACAGAACAATCAATCATTTATTAAGGAAACCTTTACTAGCATGGCCTGGATTCAGCCCATCCGGTCTGAACTCCGTCTGCAACCGATTATTTTGGTCTATGATGATGTCACGTGACATTACTTTTCCTCCCCATTTCCGCAAATAAACGCGAGCGCAGGAGAGTGTGGCGGCTCCAGTCGAAAGTGAAAACAGACGGCCGCCACCGACTCGTGTGTCATGGTGAAACCGTCAGCCACAGCCGTTAACGACGACAGTCACGGGCCTATCTAACAGGTGGGTTGAACTCTTGTGTTTCTTCATTGTTTGTAGTTGTCACCGGCTGTTTTCTTCTGGCTAATTTGCTAACCGTAGCCAGGTGAAAAAAAAAACTAGTCAGCTCAGATTAGAGAGACTTTCCAAGCGGATCAGTCTAGCACCAGCTCCGCTCACTTTGCTGTGTTGTGTCAGCTGGATAGTTTGCTGAATAATGCGTTTGTAACAATGGCCAACGTTAGCCAGCCAGCTAACTGTTGTCATTTAACAGTGAAGTGCTCCATGTCTGCTCGGTGTTTCATCTGACTCATTACACAGGAGGGAGGGGGTAAGAGTTACTGTTGGTTTAGGACACCCCAACCTCCCAGACATGGCTAATTAGACTTCATATAATTGGTGAAATAATGTAAGAAATTATTAAAACTCATTACATTATTATGTCATTTCATAAGTAATCTTCATAATAGCATAGTTTTATAGGGGTTCATTTTTATTTCATAATGGAATTTTCCCCAATACTACTTCAATTTCATGCCATTTTTGTTATTTCATAAAGTCACTCTTCGTGACAGTGGTGCTGTCATGGTCCTCTGATGAATTTTAACTTATTTACATGCAGTTGTGTAGTTTAATCAGTAACTGTATATCATATGCAATTACCTAAATTCAGATACTGCAGTATATAGTATGCATTAAACTGAACTGTAATATAGGGTTTAAAGGTGTGTGTGGTGTTGTCAAAGCCTCTGCACCATCTATGGAGCAGCTCCAGGATTTGTTTCATCACCACTGCCTGTGTCTCTCCTGTCCAGCTTAAGACAAGGCTGATTCAAATTCACAAACTACTACTAGGTTATGCAGAGCTACAAAAGTAAGACATAATATAATCTTTTTTTAAGATGGATTTTTTTTCCTTGAAAGACCAGATAGGGTTAGTTAGAAGTAGGAGAGTCCTGACTGCTTCACTGCTTAGACATTGAAGAATAGTTTGAAACATTGTACTATCATTTTAAAGAAACCGAAATATATTTTCTTGAAGTGTGTATCCTCTAACTGGGTTAGGAAATCTCTAGAGCTCTCTTAAATAATTTTGGAGCTGAAACCAATTCCTAACGTTTATCCATAGGCACATATATTAATTATAAGGCTGAAAAAATAAATTGTATAACTTAAAAAAAATTATAAAGAATTTTGAAGCACATAAGACCAAAATTTTTCTGAGCGGCTTTATACATACTGGCCCTGATCTCTTGGGACTAATGTTTCACCACATGACCCAACTTCCCTTTAATCTTCTCAGTGAGATCATGTGTGGGGTTCACATCATTTCTCGCTAAACTGAACATCAGTGCATGCGTGTGAAGCATGTTTGTCCCAAAGCACTTAAACATTTAACAGTTTCACAAAGTCAGAATGCTTTGACTTTGCTGTAAATTCCTTTTTTTTTTCCAAGGATTAAAACTTGTGCCAATATGTAATTCTCCTTTTCCCATATTTGTGTGTTTAAGTGCGTTGACCGAATGGTTGTTTATATAGTTTGGAAAATTTCTGACTGTATATTTTCACACCCACTCATAACAGCAACTGCAGCACTGGCATCCTCGCCCGCCCAGACCCTCCCCCCGCCCCTGCCCCCTGCCCTGCCTTTGGACTGAGGTTCTTCCCTCCACCCCGCTGCCCTCGCCACAGACTCACAGCATCATGGTGGATGTAACCAAATGGCCCCTTTTCAATCTGATGGGGCCTCAGGAGCTCTCCACCATACGGAAAGCATGCGTGTTTGGAACGTCAGCTAATGAGGCCATCTACATCACTAATGACGATGAGGTGAGAGGTCGAAGGGAAAACAAGGTGGTGGTTGATATTTAATCATTCAAGGGAAAGAGAGTGCTGACCTTTTGAAGGTGATGATGTGAAGCTTCCAGGGTTGCTTTGAGAAGTTAACTGATACACAGCGTATAGTTAGAGCCATTAGCTATTAAACTACAAATCATGTCTTCTTTACATTGCTGCCATTTTCTTCAGCATACTGTTTAGATTGGTTTCCTTCCTTGCAAGCAGCTATTGGTTTCAGTTCATGCCTCATTAGACTCTAATCAACAACAGTAGTAAAACACGGTAACTTCAGACAATCTACCACAGAGGAAGTTTACTCTGCTTCATTATCTTTCTGTCAGTGCCACAGTATTGTAGCAACTTCACTATTGGTTCAGTGTCACTGCTCTCATTAACCTAGTTTCCAGCAGTGGCAGTCAGCCATTTTCAGCAAAAAAAAAATCTCTGGTGCTGAACCAGTAGTGTACAGTTGGTTTAGCAACCAGCTGGTGAACATAGTGGGCATAGCATTTAGCAGCTAAAGGGGCAGATATTTCTCCATATTTCTTGCTGCAAAAACAAATGGGAATTCAGGAGTTTCTGGCTTTGAAAAGGGTGCTACTCAACAGCCCAACTGTTACATCCTGGATATTAAACCTTTTTATTTATTTATTAATTTGTCATGTGAAACGGCAACTAGATTTACCAGAATTACTTTGATGTCATTGTTGCTCTGGCTAACAGATGCTAAATGACTTAATGTGGTAGCAGTTGTGGTAGGGCTATGTGATTGTCTAAAAGATAATGTCACTAATGAAAAATGACATTATGTAATAATGGTAAAAAAAAAAAAAAAGGTAAAAACTACCATTATGAAATCAAAATGAACTCCTATAAAACTCTGTCATTATGAAAATGTCTAATGAAATGACATAATGTTGTACTAAGTTTTAATAATTTCTTAAATTGTATAAAGTCTAGTTAGCCAGGTCAGGGAGGTTTGTGTGTCCTAACAGCGTTGCTAAACCAACAGTAACTCTTAATACCCCCTCCCTCTGAGTAATGAGTCAGATTAAACACAGAGCAGACATGGAGCACTTCACTGTTAAATGAAAACAGTTTGCTGGCTTGCTGTTTATATATTTATATATTTTACACAATTTAGTCATATGATTTATGTATTTCATAATTATTTATTCAATATTGAACACCCTGGGGCTCCTTTTAATAACTAATGCTAAAGTAAATATCAAAATAAACTCTAGGCTAGTGCTGCTGTCGTTGCTTGTCAGCTCTCTGTGTCAGTGCTGTTGGTCTGTACCGAGTTTGTGTGTGTGACTGTGTGTGTGAAAGTATGGATGGTCAATGGCACCGGATCTTCTTGTGCAGCTTTTATCAATACTACTGCCTGTGTTGATGTTTGTGTGTCTGGTATGTGACCTGTTACCTACTCAGCTGACTCCGTCTGTCTCTGCTTAGCCCTGCTTATCACTGATCCACATTACATGTTCTCCTCCTGCCACTCTCAGGTGTATGTGTTCGGATTGAACTGCAGTAACTGCCTGGGAACAGGGGACAGCCAGAGCACCATTGTACCCAAGAAGCTGGACTTCCTGAGTGGGAGGAAGGTGGTCAGCCTGAGCTACGGCAGCGGACCCCACATCCTGCTGGCCACAGAAGGTAGCTGCACAAAATGTGTAATCCTCCTCTTCACAGTTGGATTAAAAAGTGCTGTAGGACGACTAATCTCTTTGTGTTTCAGACGGAGAGCTATTTGCATGGGGACATAACGGCTACAGCCAACTGGGAAATGGAACAACCAACCAAGGAGTTGCTCCAGTGCTTGTCTCTGTCAACCTGCTCAATAAGAAGGTCACAGAGGTGGCCTGTGGTTCTCACCACTCAATGGCTCTGACTGACTCAGGAGAAGTAAGTGTCAAGGGGAAACGAAATTGTTACTTTTACAGCAAAATTATGCACAGAGCTGAACTGAAGCCTGTTTAAAACCTTTGTAATGACACAGGTGACTCAGCTTTGGTCAATGGCCCAGTGGTTAATCACACAGACCATTATAGGACCCTGAGTTCAGTCACAGCAAGAGTTCATCCCCCTGACCTGAAAACTTAGAAAGCTGTTTAAGCTGCAGTGTATTATCATATAACTATATATTTTATAATATAACACTATAATTATAGTACAAATATAATAAAAACATCATTATGAACTAGTGTCATATTGTTATAGATAAGACAAAGATATTTAACTCTGCATCATTCAGAAAAGCCAATAGCTATCATAATCATCTATCATCATAAGCATCATTGTCTGCCAGGTGTATGCATGGGGCTACAACAACTGTGGTCAGGTGGGCTCAGGCTCCACAGCGAACCAGCCCACACCCCGCAGAGTGTCCAGCTGCCTGCAGAACAAAGTGGTCGTTGGTATCGTCTGTGGTCAGACCTCATCTCTGGCAGTGGTGGACAACGGAGAGGTGATTGCTTAGTTCGTACTGGAGATATAAAAGATATCCGGAAAAAAAAACAAGCGCTTATATTCTCTTCTTGGCTCTGCAAGGTGTACGGTTGGGGCTATAATGGGAATGGACAACTTGGACTTGGAAATAATGGGAACCAGCTCACTCCCTGCCGACTTGTGGGTCTGCAAGGTTTATGTGTGCAACAGGTTTGAAATAACACTCACACACACAAACATTTTGATGAACTTCTTAGTACACATGGACACTTAAGGGGGAGATCTGACATCATTACGTAATCATATCAATACACAAAGAACGATTCAATCCATCTGAATACAGCTAGTAGATCTCTACAGTTAGATTCAGCCCTGTCACCACAGTTACAGTTCTACTCATGCAGTGCTGTTGAGAATCATGTTTGTTTATCATTTGAGATAATGCCGTGAAAGATTTCAGAAGAAGCGCAACTTCTTTAACTTGACTTCTTAGTGACTTCAAAATTCATTGTTAGATGTGTGATGAATATTCTCAACAAACTCAAACATGTAAGTGCTCTAATATTTTGCCACAAAAATGCCTCCACAGAAAGAGACAGGAAGAGTTTAGTGAGGGGGAAACATACACAGTGAAAGCACCTGAAGTAGCCGTTATTAGATGCTAAAAATAAATACAGGTGTCATATTGAGGAATGATGATGCGCTGAAGCCTGTATCTGTGTTTTTGTGATTCACCCTTTGCTGAATTGATTTAACCTCATTTTAAACATGAAGTCACGCACAACAGTTTTAATTTGGTGTATCATCATGCCTCTGATGTACACAGTGTATTTTCTGTTTGCAATGCAAACTCCAAAACATAATTAATCACAGTATGAAACGGAACAAATACTCGCATATGATAAGTGACTCAAATTATCAAAATTATTATTAGTATGTTTTCTGTTAAAAGACTGGGAACTTAAAATGGACAACTCTGTATTTTTATCTTTATTCAGTGTTAATGAGACTTTTATTCTTTTTTTTTTTAAAATGAGAAAACCTCTTTTGTGTGTTACATTGGCATGTTAACATGGTGGACCCCACATGTAAGTTTTATTTCCTCTCCAGATTGTCTCAGGCTATGCCCACTCCTTGGCACTAACAGATGAGGGGTTGCTCTACGCCTGGGGTGCCAACACGTATGGACAACTGGGCACCGGTAACAAGAGCAACCAGCTGAGCCCAGTTCAGATCATGACTGAGAAAGAGAGGTGAGCATCACCACAGATGAAATAGATCCTCCCTCCACTGTCTCGTACACTGACACTGACTGATTTCTCTCCTCTGGCTTCTTTGACAGAATTGTCGAGATCGCCGCCTGTCACTCCACTCATACATCGGCTGCAAAGACTCAGAGTGGTCAGGTGTACATGTGGGGCCAGTGCAGGGGCCAGTCCATTGTGCTGCCTCACCTCACGCACTTTACCTGCACCGACGATGTCTTTGCATGCTTCGCCACCCCCTCAGTCATGTGGAGGCTTCTTTCCATGGGTAAGACAAGAAGCTCGTGCTCAGTGATGGCGGTAGTGATGCAGTAATTAAAGCACAGCAGCAGTTCTTCTGACATTTGACTCCATTAAACACAAATCATGTTTCTGTTACTAGAGACTATTTTCCAAAGCAAGTTTTTGATTTATTTCTTACCCTCCAGGAAGTGATTAGGTTTTAGTCCATGCACGTACGCTATCAAAATCGACATGCACAGACTAAACTTTAGACAGGTAATTCATCACAGAGGAACATTTAATTTAATTGACTTTACATAAATATCATGTGGTAATGTGGCTGCAGATGTTAACAGTTTTGAAAGCATCTGTGTTTTTCCTGAAAGAGTTTCCTGAAGAGTTGTCCAAATACGTTCATGTTCGTACCTGCATATCTCCACTTGGGGTACTGCATTAAACATATAACAATGTAACATATTGTTATAGAAAAACAAAACTTTATTTATATGGCGATTTTAAAACCAGGCTTATGATGGTCTTCAGTTAAAATATTTGAAGGAATAGAAGTTTTTGTTCCTTGAAAGAAATACTCCATTTAATTGCAAATGAATTTTCATTCATCAGTCTTTTTTTTTTTTTTTTTTTTTTACAGCCGACATTTTTACTTGTCACAGCAGGAAAAACATAAGTGTTACCGCTGACTTTGGCACTGTAATGTTCCAGTAATGTTCAGTAAGCCATGACAGTGAGCCAGCATGAACAATACCAGGACCCTGAAACTGAAGCCAAAATGTCTGCTGCCTACTATTGGGAAATATAAACCGTAGGCATTGACTGAAAGACTTTAGGTTACACTAGCTTACCATTTAATTTGAATTGTTTAAGGGCAGTGTATTATCCAATTTAGCCCTGTGTCAGTCTGACCTATAATTAGAGCCAAGTTACTTGAAACTTGAAAGGAAATTATTAGGACCATGTAAAAAGAATTAAAAAAGCCTGGTCAAAACGACATAGGAAGACTGTGGTCCTTCCTGTAAAGCTTATAAAAATACCAGTGGTTGAAAGTTACTGCTACAGCTTTTATCTTTCTAATGCCAGAAGCTGATTTGTGTGGGTGTGTTTTCTCGCTCCAGAGCATGATGACTTCTTGACCGTGGCTCAGTCTCTGAAGAAGGAGTTTGACAACCCAGAGACAGCTGACCTCAAGTTCTGCATCGATGGCAAATATATCTATGTCCACAAAGCCGTTCTCAAAATCAGGTCAAGATTTTCATCTCACAGCTGTCCACTGAAGTCACAAAACTATAAAATAGAAACAATTCAAAAGTAAATAATATCTGTATTCATCCTCAACATTTTGCAGGTGTGAACACTTCAGATCCATGTTCCAGTCCCACTGGAATGAAGACATGAAGGAGGTGATTGAAATAGACCAGTTCTCCTACCCGGTCTACCGCTCCTTCCTCGAGTTCCTCTACACAGATAACGTGGAGTTACCTCCTGAAGATGCTATTGGTCAGACCCCCTCCCATACACGTGTCACTTCATAATCTCACATCCTGACATTTATCTGTCAGTTGTTCCTACTCACAGTGTTACTGCCTGTGTCTGTGCTCTATCAGGGCTGCTGGATCTGGCAACTTCGTATTGTGAGAACCGCCTGAAAAGACTTTGTCAACACATAATCAAGAGGGGAATCACTGTTGAAAACGCCTTCTCCCTGCTGTCGGCTGCTGTGCGCTATGATGCAGAGGTCAGTCTTCACCATCAGTCAACACACCATCTGTTTATTTTTATATATATATATATATATATATAATGTAGAAAGCAGTACATATCTTGAAATCCACATCTAAAGCAGCTATTGTAAAAGTAGGACAGAAAATGTTTCATCCAGTGAGAAGGAAACAAGGTCTTTGTTTTTCCATTAGTTTTTCTTTTTCAAGGAATAGTTCAGCATTTTGGGAAATATATTATTTCTTTATTATTACTTATTTGCCTCATGCTGAGAGTTAGATGTGAAGATTGATACAAGTCTCATAACTAAACAGTAAATATGAAGCTACTGCAACCAGTTATAATAGCTTCACATAAAGACTGGAAACGGGTAGAAAAGGCTTCTCTGTTTAAAGGTAACAAAGTCTGCTTTGTACCTGTGGAATAATGAGAAATTATTCCTTTAAACCACAAACAAGGTGACAGAAGGAGGCAATTAAGAACCTGCTGCTGCTCATTCGAACATGGCAGTGAGGACATGTCCTGCAGAAAATGAGGTTACAAGGTATCAGACCGTAGAAATCAGCTCCAGTCAGTTATTCCAGTGACAAAAGTCCACAAAGTTCTCCCTAAGATCCCTGATTCCTTGGTCTCTCAAGTAGGAAAGAGAAGGGTCCCATACTTAAAAAACTGAAATTGCTGTAAAAGTCTATGATCTGCAGCATGTATTTCTAAATATATTTGTTCAATAAATATGCGTTGTCTCGCAGACAACCACACATCTGTGGGAGAGTGGTGGGCCAATCCACAGGATATGGGAGTTATTCAGAGAATCTCATTCATGTCTTTGAGAACATTTGACCTAAACAAGGAACTCTTTGGTTATTTGTGCTCTTCCCTTTGTCATTCAGGACCTCGAGGAGTTCTGCTTTAAGTTCTGCGTGAATCACCTGACTGAGGTGACCCAGACTGCTGCTTTCTGGCAGATTGACGGCAACTTGCTCAAAGATTTCATATGTCGAGCCAGCCGCTGTGGAGCCTTCAAAAACTGACCTCAACCCCAAGGTAATGATGGGAACTGACGCAGAGGATGCTGTGGGACTCTGTGGGAGTAAATTCTCAAAAGATGTCATCACCCCCAGTCGGCTGCATGTACCTTCACTGACAGGTGGTCACACAGTGGAAATCTTTAGATTATCACTGTCGAATCTGTTATTTAGCTCATTCCGGACTAGAACCTGTTTGTTCATTACATGAGCTGTACGGACTGAGATTACAAGACACAGCTGACAGGTAGCAGCATCATTTCAGAGTGCAGTGATGGTAGTTGTTTGCCGCAGTGCCTGACTGCCTATTAATTTACACATATTGTGTAAAGGAGGATACTATTGCTTGATCAAGTTGTTTCTTTTTAACTTAAAAGGTTTTTGCCAGTCGCCTATTCACACTTTACTTTTCTATTTTTTTGTTTAATTGACCAAGTTACTCCCTCAGTCTTTGCACTTGTATTCTTAATATGATTTTGTTCCACTTAACTAGAAGACCATATTGTAGTTTGGATGTGGCATCTGGATTCATGGGTTTCAGGCTGAGGTATGAGACTCTGTGCACTTGTAGTTTTCAGGACAGAATGAATATTTTGAAGACTGGACACTAACATAATGAGCAAACAGACTCAGGCATCCAAGGCTCGATTAAGTCTGTTTGGGTCAAACTCCAGTCAGTGATTATTAGTTCCAGTGACTTCCACAGCTGTGATTCTAAGGTGTGAGCTTTTGTCCAGGTTGTAAGTTGACCCAAAGATGGGAACTCAGGTTTTAAGTGAGATTCAGAACAGAGTGATTCAGTCTAAAACTGTGGATTTCACTTTACATTTGTGGATTGCATAGGTTGGAAAGTTGTTATTGTGCATCTACAGCATAGCATATATTAAGCTTATTTAGTTTGTCAGTTTTTAAACGCACAAAACAGATAACTGGCAGTGAAACTGCCTGGTTGCACAGCCAGACAAAGGTATGGAGCCACTAAGATTCAGTTTAAGGCATGTAGCCTTGCAGAGGCCTGGGCTGAGTGGGCCTGGACGTAGATTTTGAAGGACACTTGTGCATCTGCATGACATACCTGCTGGATGTTGAAAACAAGATTTTACAATATTAACATTAATAAAGTTGTTTAGTGAGATCTACACTACTGCCGTGAGTATTTTGAAGAACATATTTGCTATTTACTTTGCAGGACATTTCTACTTTAAAATCGATAATAATGTTTTATTGATATGAAGTGCCAGTTACATTTTGTGACCTCTACAAACAAATGAATAAAAACACTCTGATCTGCTTGTGTTTTCTGTAAACAAGTGTTTTTCAGTATTCAAAAAATGTATTGCAATAAACCAAATTGGAAAAGGTGATGGGTAATATCAGATAAAGTACAATAATTGAGTTTTTGACAGGTTATTAACATAGTGGATCAACCTCTTTTGTGCATCTATAAACCACAAGATGCAAACCACCTTCACAAATACACAATGCAGCATTCAGGATTTATAAAGTGACTCCACCACCATAAAGTGTTTTGTTTCATCATGTGTCAAACTAAATGATCTCCTGCATAAGTAACTAATTCTACAAATAGTCCTACTTATTTCACCCAGAGCATCTGGGTCTTAGTGCATTACAGATGTGTTACAGATGTTTAGAGACATTCAGATCTGCATATTGTATCTTGGATACAAGTGTTATTCTGTATTGTTAAGATGTTATGTTGAGATCATGTGGCCACTGTAGGTTCTGCCTGTTTTTTCTTTGAAATTATTTTTAACTTATGAAAATCTTTCAATTGGCTGTAAAATGTTGGGATAGTTTTTTAGCACTCAAGAGTGGTTGTTCGCTCTGTCATTATTAACAACTGGAAAATATTACTATGTATTATTAACAGTTCAAAGATTTGAAAAATGTATATTATACTAGGAGCAAACACGAATTATCTGATGATATGTTACAACTAGTTAAAACTTTACAAAAAAGATTCAAGAACATCTTTCAGCTTCAGTTTTTATCTTTTACAGTTATAAAAATATATTCCAGAACACAAATTCCTTTTTAATCATAATGTAAATGTAAACAAAACAAAACGTCTGGACTCCACTGTCCCCACAGGACACAGAAAAAATTACTTGTAAACACTGAGCTGTAAACTGCAACATTATTTCAGCTCTCCTGTCCATGGTTTACTAGTTTGAAGATAATACCAGTCTGTTCAATCACTGACAACATGTAAAGATATATAAGATGTATATAAAAACACACTTTAAATGTAAAATTGACATAAACAAATATTTTTTGTTTTTCTACTGTGGGTCATTAGTTTTACTATAAAATATCCTCCATTTTAACTACCTTAAGAAAAAGATAATATTAAACAAGATCTCAGTTGAACATAATGAAAGCAAGGAAACTTCAATGTAAACATTTAAAGAATTTAGTTTCTAGGGTTGGATATGGGACGTTTTCAAGACAAATATTCTTTCCAATTCTTCATGTTCAGTAAAGCTTTTGAAATCAGTTTTCCCAGACTTATTTCTTAATATGAAACAACTCTTGTGTACGATATCTTCTAAATGGAACTGCAAAATCTTCATCTGATTTGTAAGCATCATGATCACAGGCTGAATTCTGAGATGACAATGCAAGATTCAGCCTTTTTAATCTTAAAGTGATTTTGAATTATCAGTGCCAAACATTGGTAGTTTTATATTTCCATATCCAGCACAGCTTTCCACTATTGGAAATTAACGAAGGCACAATCAGTAAAAGAAAATATACATATACTGTTTGTGTAGAGTAAATACAGAACAACAGTGAGAAGGGAAAGGTAACTGTAACCTTGATCTCTTCTAGCTGCTGATGGACTCATCTCCTCAGTGCTGAGACGACCTCCTTCATCGCTGCTGCTGCCTTTGTCAGCTCCATTTGTTTCTGTTGTAACTCTGTCAAAACAATATATTTTTATTTATAATTTGTGCTTTCATTACTATAAAAAATGGCAATTTTGAATTGTAGAAGATTACACATCTTAAAATAGGGTTAAACAAAAACTGAAGCTGTACTTTGCTATTATTAGTTAAACAGCTGAACATTGTGGTGAAGTGGCCTAATATGCATCTTTTATCTTTACTGCTGTCATTGGTTTTCATTATATAAACTGCAACTAAAGATTGACCATAGTCATCTGTTTCTCTGTCATGTTTAAACATGGCTATACTTCCCTGATCAATCTACACTTAATATCCCATAATGCCAAAACGTAAACTGAATTTTAGTGTTTGCAAATTTATTAAAGAGTAAAAACTGAAATATCACATTGACATGAGTATTCAGATCCATTCTCATATTTTGCAACCTCAAACATGCAATTTTAAGCTGTGCCATCTTTCTTCCAATTTGCCAGCACAAAACCTTGGTGCAGCTCGGGCCGCAACTAATAGTTATTTTCATTATCAAGTAATCTATTGATTATTTTCTCTATTCATCATTTAGTCTTTAAAATGTAAAGAAAAATGGTGAAGACCTCAAGATCCCAGAGCTCAAACTGACATCCTTAAACTGCTCGGGTTGTTTGACCAACAGTCTGAAACCTGCAGATATTTCATTTACTATCATATGCTGTATGATGAAGACGTGCAGTTAAATTCTTGAATATGAGAAGCTGGAACCAAATATTTGGGATTTTTGCTTTAAAAATAACTGAAACAGTTGATTATCTAAATAGTTTTAGCTGATTAATTTTCCTGCAATCTAACCGATCAATTGGTTAAATCGCTGCAGCTCTCTATGCAGCCCATTATTAAATTAGTTTTAAGGCCAAACAAAGAGCCTCATACATCAGTAAACATCCCCTAAAAGCCTAGACACTAGGAACACTATGAGATTGCAATGAAATTTACTGACCAGACAACAAAATTGTCTGCAAATTTTGGTGCCAAAGAGAGGTCAAGCTGTCTAAAGCAAAACGTGTGAACCTCTGCAGAGTGCACTTTTTGATATCTCATACTCAGTTTAAGAGGCTCAGCTCTACATTGTTACATTACCTCCACTTTTATCAGTCTAAACTACTTCAGCCTTTGCTGAATGCTAAAATTGTGTATATGTTTTCACAGTAATGCTAAACTACTCTTGACCAAGTGAAGGACAAAGGTACCAACCCACATAGAGCCACACTGTTAAGAGTGTACTTCACCTTTCTGCTGCTTGGCCACGAGCTCTGCCAGCTTTCCAGAAGCCGCCATCACTGTTAGTGCAAGATCATAATCTGTGGAAAAGAAGAGGGAGCATAAATGTATGTATGAGTATGAGACCAGAGATGTTGTCCCAGCAACTTGTGAGTATACTGAATCCTCTCTCACCCTTCTGGCTGGCCTGGTCTGACTGAATTCTGCTGGCGATATCGTTCATCTCATTAATGAAATCAGTAAAGATGGCCTGTGTGCATCCTGCCACGTTACAGCTTTTCCAGAAGCTGGGGGAGTCAATGATGAGCTCTGGGTCAAAGCAACAGCCCTTAGGACAGGGAGACGAGGAGATGAGGGATACACACATGGATTCAGGAGGAGGCGGGGAAATGGCCGAGCTGCTGCACTGAGGTGAGCCAGTAACACTGTCGGGTTTCGAGTGGCCAGGAGAGGGAGAGGGAGGGGCCCCAGTGGAGCTTTGCTGTGGGGCAGAGGGTCCAGCGATGTGTTGATCAGGACTGCACCCTGAGAAAAGGGACAGTCCCATGTGTTATCACAGCTTTCATAACATCACAACTGTATGTTTCAGTATCATCATTTTTGATTTGATATTTGAGTAATTTCTAAACTTCCTGCAACAACAGCATCTTACTGAGCTCACTAGAAAATGGTTTTCCACATATTATTTATTTTTCCCAAATTGATTGTATCATTCATCCTCTCTCTGTAATGCTCTGTCTGTACTGTGATCTGTAGCAGTGTAACTGCTCTCTTCACTATCATGACCAGGCACATGTTTTTGAACACTTACAAATGGTATATTAATAAGTATATGAAAGGTTAAACGTATGTGCACTTTCACACAACATATGCATATAACCATGAGGTCAGTTCGCAAATGTGTGATGTCAAGCTGTTGCAATCTGTTTTTTGGGGTCTTTTTTAGCATGCTAGCAGCAGAACTGTACGAATGGCACTGTTGGTGCTTTGGTCCAGACTGAAATATTTCCACAACTACTGGATGACCCTGAGCACAAACAGAAGTGGGCCCTGTAAAACCATGTGCCTGTATAATAGGTGCAATATATACTGGAGTCCAAAAGTCTGAGACCACATTAAAAATATATTCACATAAACCTGGGAATAACCAGCAAATTTGAGGATTGAGAAACATTTTAAAATACAAGGAGAAATATTTAAGATTCTGCACTATTTCTAGGTCAGCAATAAAATTTAAGCAAATTGGGGCATTGACCAATTTAATACTGAGATCCACTCAGATGGATTGGATCTACTAATCAGTAACTCAACTTGCAGCCAGTGTTCACCTGTTATAAATAAGGCTGTGACTCCAGCTTCCAGCAGATCATAGCTTATTCAGTATCATTGTGATGATGGGAAAAATAGCATCAGAAATAAGCAAAAGAGTCATGAGTCAAATTGTTATTCTGGGCAAAGAGAGGCTCCCTCAGCATCAAATCATGGTTTGACTAAAGCTTTATGAGGGGGCAGTTCATGGAGCTCTAAAACGCTTTGCAGTAAGTGGATCAGTTGTATCCAAAGCACAATGAAGCAGACCTAAAGTGACCACGCCATCAGAAGATCAATGCATCAAGCTTAGTTCTCTGAGAGATAGAAAAGCAACGTCATCACATATACAGAATTTACTAAATAAATAATGCAAGACTCCAATCAGCAAAAGTACTGTTAAAAGAAGACTGTCTTGTGGTGGTCTCAGAGGACGAGTAGCAGGTTCTAAACCACTTCTAAGGAGGGAAAACAAGGCCAAATGCCTGAGGTGGGCTAAGAAATACCAGAATTTCACAGTGGATGAGAGGAGAAATGTTATATTTACTGATGAATCCAAGTTTGAGATTCATGGCAGTAACAGAGGGGAGTGTGTAAGGAGACGAAAAGGAGAGAGAATCAAACCGACAGAGAAACATGGTGGTGGGAATATTCACGTCTGGGGGTGTTTTGTATTATCTGTCCTGTAAAATATTTTTTATAACACTTCTACTGAATCTGTATCTACTTTTCTGAGTTCCTGACACACTTATAAAAAGTTAATGTTATTATCTCACTGCATTTCAAACAAACTGTTCTGCCACAGTAGGTGTAAAACTTGCCTTCATCTTCTCTCTTTTTCTCCTCCGCTGCTTTAACCAAAATCACTTTCGGATATGCTGTCGACACTGTCTGAGGTGAGAGTGTAGAACTTGTTGTTGCCTCCGTGCAGATTTCCACAGGAAGTAGACTCTCTGACTCAGCATCCTGAGAGTAAGCAAACATATATCGTGTCACAATCCTGTTCTGCAAGTGATAATGGTACATCATATTATCAACCACATATAAGAAGTATATATATTCTGTGATCAAGTATCCTTTGCAGGCAGGCTAATTCAAATTAGCCTTAAGAAGCTATAAAGAAATACCATGAATATCAGGTAAAAGACTAAATAAATTAGAAGAATTGCTCAAATGTGAATAACCAAAACATCATATACTTTGAAGACAGGAAACATGTTTGACAGTAATAATGCACTGGACAGTAACAACTCACTGAATCTATGGTTGTTTCACCTTCATCTTTATTTTCAAATTCGTTCTTGACGTTCAGTTGATTTCCTAAAGGGACAGAGCAGGAGTTTGCAAACCACTGGTATACAGCATCGTGTCTTAGCTATATATACACAGAATCTGGCGTGACTGTTTACCTGAGGTGCACTCTGTTTGACACTCTGTGTCTTTTCTGTGAAGGCAGAACATCATAGAGAAAATTATCTACTGTGGTCCATGTTAATGCAATCCAATACAAAAGGCCTGTACTAGAAACTAACATTCATTTTCTAATAGTTGTTAACAGTGTTTCAGAGAAATTAAATTAAATTGATTTGAATTAACTTAATTGAGTAAAATTCATGAAATAATGTGATGTCAGGAACACCTGGAGGGAACTTCTAATTTGATACAAACTCAAGGATGAACCAATTAGATTTTGGAGGTCAAAGGTCAAGGTCACTGAGGCTTCACAAAATGCGTTTTTGGCCATAACCCTCAAGAATTCATATGCTAATTATGACACAATTTAACACAGATGTCTACTAGGATAAAATGACGTGACGACAACAGTCAGAGGTCAACTTCACTGTGACATCATAAAACACTTGTAGCCATTATTCAACGCTGTAACTCAGGAACAGGAGATTGTTGATATTTACTGCAACTTGACTGGTTGACAGAGGCGTACAGCTGTGAGGTGGTAATTCTAGTTATGGTCATATAGTGCACACTGCAAAAATGATTACACAATGTAAATAACTAAAAATAAACTTATTTCACACTTATTCTCAATGAATCACAGAGAGTTGGTCTTACCTTATAAACTGAGGCCTAGTCAACAACTGGAGAAGAATGAATGATGGAGAAGAAAAATATATGATTATTAAACATTATTAAACAACTCTACTGATGGTATTAGTTAGGGATTAAGATTGGATTTACATAGTTCTGTGGAACAGAGTTTGTAGTTTCATCTATATCGGACTCTAAAGGGGCGAAGATTTCCATTTCTGTGTTAGGTTCATTATCATCTGTAGAAGAAAGGGAATCATATAAATCAGTATTGTAACGGGTTGATTAGTTCATTAGTTTACATTCTCTCACTTGCAATTGGTTAACCTGAATGTGAAGAATCAGATATTCTCCTTGTCTTGGCTGCAGGTTTATATTTGGATCGGCTCTCCTCCTGTCTGTGACAAAGGAGAGAGATCAGGTATCTTGCACAATTGTAATAGGTAGACTTGACTGGGAAGGTGGTGGTGCTGCATTAAACAAAAGCAAGGATGTAATCGTAAAGAAAAGTAAAAAATGTAGATGATTGACAAATCAAATACATTGTACATAAATATAATACATTTTTAAAACAAATAATTATTTAAGCTGTAATAATGGCCACATTCTACGCAAAAGTCTCAAAACATCAAAGAAAAAAAGGTTTGAACAGCCAAGTCCAGGATGCAAACGATCAAACACTTACCTGTCATTGAAATTCAACCGTCTCTGTTTCAAATGCAAAAGCAAAATGATTAAAATGATTGAATCGTTTGGAAGAGAAATTAAATGATATTAAAAAGCTTTATTTAGAGTGACTGAGAATAATATGTAAACCTTGGAGTGCAAATGCGAGTTTGAGTCACTGCTGCAAACAGGTCTGGCTTCTGCAAAATCGTCTGTCAAGGAGAAAGATGTTTAGTCTGTGACACTAAGAGGTAAAACAGGAGACATGAGACACTCATGAGACTTACCATTGCTGTTCCTCTTATATGATGAAGGAGCATGTTTGTCACAATATAACCTAAAAACACACGTCTAGTTATCACAACGTGATCAGATATTGATGTTGAGAGCAGATTAGAAACACACAACAATTTAGTTGTAGACTTACAAAGGAAGATGTTGCAAAATGTGAACATACTTACATAATAATGCTATTAGACAAACTTTCCAAACTGATATTTCCTTCTGTCTCCTCACAGGTGAGACAATATACCTCATGAAAATAAACATGGACATCATTACTTCCTAGACAATCAATGCAAACATTTAAACAATTACATGTATACTGACAAATCTCATGAAAACCAATTAACAAGTTTTGCCTGTTGACACTGTTGTGCAAAAGCTATAAATAAAAATACATCCATGTTCCACATCAATGTTCCTTCGTTATCATGCGCCATTTCTGGGACATTTGCTGTAAACTACAGTAGCCAGCTGTTTTAGGAAATTGCTGATCATTTTTTTTTAAAGGTTTGCAGTTTTCAGTGATGCGCTTTACGTCTATGTAGGAGATAGATCCATCAATCAAACCTGAGATGTTCCAGCTTCACTGGGATTTTTGGAGGTTCCATGCCCATTTACAGGGCCGTTGTATTTCGAGCCTGAAGAATTCAACACATATCTCATACGTTGAAAAAAAAAAAAAAAAAAAAAAGGTCACAGAAAGGCAAAAATTCAGAGATGCCCACTTACTTTGTGAATGGTGTTTGAAGCAGAATAGCCTGATGCATAAACACAAAACACATAAAAGAAGTTTTAGGAAAATGTATATTTAACTGCAATGACACATAGATGTTTCTTCCAACAAATAATGCAGATGCAGGACAGGTGTTTTCTAGATATACAGGTAAACAGACACAGTATGTTGCACTGACCCGTACTTCCCATTGTCTGGATCTTCAGTAATCTCAGCTCTCTCTTGAACAGCACAGGGGTAGTGGAAGGACTTCTTGCAGCGTCCGACTTCACAACCAGCAGTGGCACCCTTTTGCTTACATCTGTTACAATACTAATGCAAACAAATTAATAACACAACTACAGATAGTTTCAAGCAGACAATTAGAGGATTAGACCTGTTCAGATTGGAAAATGTCAGTAATTTTTACCAGTTTGCTTCCTCGTTTGACCTCAGTCATCACATCCTCAACGGAGAAACCAAACAGGTCATCAAACTCTGGTGAATTCCGACAAAAAATACCTGAAGAAAATAACTGTAAAACAGAAACAACACAAGTGAGGAGAAAATGTCTGACACTGTAATTCAAAGATACATAAAATCACAAATGAAGAGCAATACTGCTGTTGTGTTTTTATGCTTAAGTGAGTTACTCACTAAATAAAATAAAATTACTCTTCCACAAGAGGGTGACAGATTTTATGTTGGTATAACTTGTTTTAAAATGATTTCTACAATTTGATGTCACTGTAGGGACATTCTTGACCTGTTTAAATAAAAAAACAAAAAAAAATGTTAGTCGTAAAAGAGATTTGCCGAAAATTGTCCCACTTTACCCGAGATCATCCTACTTAGTCCCCCCCCCCTTTTTTTTTTTTTACAATTGGTAACATGTATTTCTCGATACTGAGTTAACTGTTTGCCAAACTCTTCACACAGTTTAGCACAGCAAGAGTCAATGTGGACTAAACTGTAACCCACTTTTCATTGCTCTGACACAAAATGCATTCAATAACCATGTCTTTCAAAATTCATTCAACTGTTTCCTCACTCAAACTCAACCACCACTAAAACTGTGTATTTATAGAGCCCACAAAAACAAATCCATCATAATACAAAATTACTGTAAACTGGACTGTAATTTGCTACATCCTGCTGCCTACAGCTAAACAGAAATATAATGATAAAAATGTCCTCTACTAGATTTGTGCCAGGTGAGATCCCCAGCACATTCCAGGGGGGTGTCACTTCTCCTTACACAAGATTAACTCTTGTTCTGAGCTGCATGTCAGCAAAGAAAGCTTTGCTTAGGGTTTTGAAAAAGTGAACTTGGAATAGAGAACTGTGTGTTATAAAATGTAAAAAAAAAAAAAAAATGAAATAACTAAATTTGGAGGCTTAAAGTTAAAGGATTACCAAAAATGCCAAGAGTTCTGCTTCTTGGCAGCTATTATACCACCTCTGCCCTTTCATCATTTCAGTATGTGTGGGACAGCTCCACACTTTGCATGCAGGGCATAGCATGTGGAGGAAGGTTTCTACTGCTGTTTGTGTACTTTCATCGATCTCCATCTTCTCAGAGATAGATATCAAACATAATACGGTTTCGTTGTTCTTCATCGTCTGCTTTTAGCAAATGTCAGTGCTAAGCTTTTAACCGATTTAGCCAACTGCTAACTTTAGCTCACTAGCTACTCGTTGGAATTGAATGAAAAAAAAAATCAAGGCCAAATAAAATTATATTCACCAAACAGTTCTGATGAGCAGTGACTTCATCTTTAGTCGACAAGGCTCCGGTTACCTTCGTCTCCTCGGAACGGTTACAAAGTACACAAAACACTTTACGGCCGGGACTCATTTTTACGGACTGTTAGCTTGTCTGAAATAACCTCTTTATCTATCTTCAAGCCCGATAACCGTCAATTTAATACGCCCACGTTACTTCAACACCTTGCTCTATGCTCTTCCACTCCTTTCTCGTTTCTCCGCCCAATAGTACGGTGGGTGGTTGCCAGGTTGTTGCCAGGTTGTAACCACGATATCCCCCCATCGAGCTCGAAAACCCCAAAGGGCATTTCAATCTTGTGAGAAGCTATTTTTGCAAATAAAACTAACGTGTCCTGAGAAACTATTGATACAGATCTTCTTTATATATCTATATTGTGTTTTCCCCATAAAATAATCTGTGCTGTAACCGGGAATTTAGAAATACTGTAGTTATGAACTAAATCACCTTACTAAAAACATCTCTGGCTAGGCACCAACTAAAAACATCTATGCTCAAGGTATTTAAAAATTTCCTATGTTAGGCTATATACATTTAATAATTACTTTTTTTGTGAGTTTCATCAGAAGGTGAAGAATACTGAGTTATTTTTATTTTATTTTCATTCTTTGCCCCCAAACAGTCCAATTTAGTCTAAGTCCTATCAAAACCCTCTCATCTGTAATATGTGTGTAATTGTAGGATGTAAACATTTCTTTCAGTAATTACAAAACCCTCAAAATGTAAAGAAATATTAATGTGGACATGCCTTTATATTCTAATATTTCCATAACATATGGATAGCAATTTTCAGGGACTTTAATCAGCTCATTTCAGTTTATTCCCAGTAGTCTGTATCATTAAAATGATCTCTCGGCATTCTAAAATACTTTGTTAATTCAATTATACCACAAACACGATTTTATGTTTGTCTCTTTTTTTTTTTTTACACCTCTAAAAGGTTTCATGTGGAGAGTTTTCTGCTGTAATAAACAAATATTTGTTGTGTGTAGAAATGTGGCCACTTGAATGTCAAAAACACATTTACCTATTTAAAAAATGGCCCTTTTTGATAACAATGGTACTTTTCATGGCAGTGAATTTTCATACCTCCACATTACTTTTGTAGTCTTTGGTCTCCACCGAGTGTAAAAGATGGGTTTTAACAAAACCTGGCAACCGAGTTCGGCAGTTTGAGTTTCGTTTCTGGTCGTTAGACTAGCTGAGGGCTCGCAGGGTTACGCAGGCGCCCCATATAAAGAGGCTACAGTCCTCGCTGCAGCTGGCCACCGGTTCGACTCCCGCATCGGACGGCCCTTTCCTGCATGTCATACCCCCTCTCTCTGCCTCCCCATTTCCTGTCTCTCTACTGTCCTGTCCATTAAAAGGCACAAAAATTCTTAAAAAAAAAATCTGCTCATAAAATTTATAGGAATATCTAGAATGCTTTCTAGGCACAGAAAAATGGATCGATATTTAGCTATTCAGAGACACACAGAAACAGTGACTGAATTATCACAAGTCATTTATATATAAAAAAAAAAAAATTAGACAAGTCACAAAGTAGTGACATCACCGTACTTAATGTACAATATAGCATCTCCAATAAACATTTCATGACAGACAGATATTAATGAACAATATCTACATTCATAACATGATCCCTTCACAGGGAATAAGTTAGCGATATACAGTGATCTCTGATTATTCACACTGAGAAACATTTTTAAACTGCAGCGTACATGAAAACCCACAGAGTTAGACAATGAAGCCATCAGAGACTTGAAAAGACAAAAGCTCATACACAGTCAAGTCCGGACAGCTGGTGACATAACAGGTTCCTAATGACAGGCTGACAGAGAGAAAAATGGCAGACAGGAAGAGAATAAAAAGAAAGTAAGAAAAGATGAGATGCCAATTTATAATTGGCTAAACATACAATATGTGGGCGTTTTCATTTCTTACAAATAAATAAACATGTAAAGGGAAAAAAAGCAGAGGACAGAGGTGATTAGACCCTCAGAAAACATTCATTCAAGCTAAACAAGCTGTATGCATTTATCTCTTGCCCTCTTTCCTTATTTACAGTAATAGCGGAAATGTAAACTCTTGGGTGAATTAGTGCAGATGAACACAAAAACAACTGTCATCCACATTTGATCACTAATCTTTCTCCATTTTTAATGCGAACACAAATAGATGCATTAACTGAGATCAGTCCTGCTGGCCCATTCATACATCTATTACATTAGAATCACACAGATCCTGCATAAAAAATAAACAGACAAGTGTGTGACTAGAGGAAGATCATTTTACTATACTATGAAATTACTGTGTGTAACATATGCATCTATGCTGTATCTTCACTGTGCAATGGCACCACAGTCAAATCTATAACGTGCCATTGTCTCAATATGTGGTGCAAGTGCGTGATAAAAATAATGAAAAAATACAGCTTTCTGTGGAAACCTGACAAAATACTTATGAGCACTGGTGTTGGCATTACAGCACAGATAGCCACATGATGCTAGCATTGAAGAGGGCCGTTTGGTGATGGAGGAAGTGCTGAGCAGTTATTCAGGGTTTGATGTCAGAGAAGCTTGTGTAGGTCTCGCTGCAGCTAGACGATGTGCTAAGGTTTCCAGAGCCACTTCCTTCTGTTGGAGACACGCATGTATTGAAGATTAACATTACACTTGCATAACAATTGTGTGTTAACGTCTCACACAGTAAATTGCTATGTTTGAATACCTGAGCTGGTGAGTGACTGGCAAGACTTGGACTTTCCAATGAGTGTGATAAGATTAGCAGCAGCAATCCAACCCTCCTTAGAGGTGCTAAGGTTACGTACAAACCTGCATGACCACACACAAAAAAAATAGTATTATAGTAGTGCTGCTGTAATTGTTTTTATTTCTAATAGGCCGCAGTAAAGGCTGTATGCTCACCATTGTCCATCATCTCCCTCTTTGACCAGCTGCACCATGTCTCCATTCTTCACTGAGAGCTCTTGAGAGTTGCTCTTCTCGTAGTCAGCGATAACTGTATATTTTCCAGCACACTGTTCATAATGAAGATATGAAGCAAACAAGATACACAGTTGGAAAATCAGGAGCTTTGTCAGATCAAAAGTTACAGTAACGCCTAGGATTAGTTTGTGCTATGAGTGGAGAAAACAATTCAGTCAAAACATGTGTCACCTTTAAAGCTTAACTAATCATTATTTTTACATTAACAATGGATCAAATAATGTTTCTGGCAGTAGCATGCAACGCTTTTCTGCAAAGTTATGATAAACCAGTTGTATGCTACCTGCCAGCAGCAGACAGCACACAGACTAAGGTAATGACTAGCTGGTGAACATAGTGGAGCATTTAGCAGATATAGAGCCAGATTATTTTCCTCAGGAATTAGTGAAGATCAAAGTAGAGCTAAAGGGAGAGTGGATATTACACTTAAATTCATCAGGTGACTAGAACCACTACTTCTTTGGTCTATGTTTGCTGGATATATAAACAAGAAATTGTTTGCTAACATGTTTAACAAAACAACTTTATACTGTGTGTCAGTGTTGTGTTTACAGCTTGTTCTGCTGCCCCCAAGCGGCCAAAAAAAATTAAAAAATTGCAGCTGTAAATAAATGAAGCATCTTATATTTAAATATAATTCTGTTTCATATTTGATCAAATGTGAAAATCCACAGAAAATGGAAAAAATAGGACATAGTTGTAAATTGTCATACAGTAAGAGTTATCTTCTATGGGCAAAGAGGACAGTGTTCACTAGCAAATGGATCACAAGCTGATCATGTGACTATGGATAGTGAAGCTACAGTATACAGCTGCTAATTATTCCACATGTACTGATTTCAACATCACATGTTTTCATGGCTTGTTAAGGCCTTTTAACGGAAACGTCTGTACATACACTTATGCAGTAGATACCCACAGACAGACTTGTTTTTGTCACTTAGGAGAACATTGCACTATTTATTCCCTGGAGACTTACCTTAACTACAACCATACATACCTAACCCCAACCCTATGCTAAACCAAAGGGACAAAAGGTGAGTACCCATACTTTGATTGTGTAATCAGGCTTTTGTCTCCACAGTGTGATTAGGACACAGGCAAGCTGACATGTTTGTCACGCATAGTGACTCACCAGCTTCTTGCCGTTTTCATCCTCTGGGTCAGAATTAAGAGGCTCCTCTGCGCTGGAATAGCCATCATGCTCCTCTGAGGCATCCAGTGACAGGGAAGCCTTGTTCCAGCCTGAGGAGGGGAAAAAAAACAGGTGATTAGTCTACGGCAACATGTAACTTCACTCGCTGTCAGACATGTGAGTGGCCATCAGTGACAGATCTACAAGAGTGAGGGAGTGAAAGGGAAAACCACAAAAAGCTCTTGAACAGAGAAGGTTGAGCAGCTAACCCCAGGAATCCCAGCATGACACAACCAGTCCCACAGCTATTATCAAATCTATTTTTCTACAACAGGGGAGGTGGACATGCAGCGCTATATTTTAAATTCCGACTGAAACCAAAATATAATGTGGCAGGCAACCATGTCTGTCAGTGTATCAGTGTGCATTTATTTGATTCTTACTAAGCCTGAAAGAAAGGTGAAGATTTCAGATGGGCAAAGCAAAAATAGAGAGAGACGGTCTATAGATTTTTATAGTAGTGAAACAGTGGACCCAACACACAGCCAGCGTGAGGCAGCTCGTGCCAGTGTACCTCTCCACTTTGTCTGTAAGAGACTAGAGGTGCTGAACCACCTGGCCCTGCTCAGGTGGAGGGGTGGAGGACCTGCATCTGAGGGACAGGAGGCAATGGAAACACAGCCAGTCACTCACCCTGCAGCAGCTACAGCAAATCCAACTCATCAGTGCTAGAGACCCTGGCTGTGCTCAGAAATCATGGATGAACAACTAACAAGACGGGGAAGTACGCACTTGTTGCTGAACAGACTAACCTTTGAAGCCGAAAGGCGTTGGGTCGCTCTGGCGTTTCGTCTTGTGATCAGGGCTCGTGGGGGATCCTACCATGAAGCAGGAAAAAGAAAAGATGGGTGATTTGTTGATGCAAGAAAGAAACCACACCCAGAATATTGACAAGCAAAAGCTAAAGGAGTAAAAAAAAAAAAAATTTAAAGGGAAAAACTGCAATTTAGCTCTGATTACAATGACAGTAAACTTGAGGAGAAACTGATACGAGGATAAACTAATTCTAATAAGGAGGGAAACTGCAAAATACAGCTCAATGTTGCAATGCATTTTGAAAGCAACATTACACTGCACTGGATTAAATAAAGCTGGGGTCTAGAGCTGTGTGATACCTGGAGACAGGAGGACTGTCATGGGTAATGTAAAACTTTTATCATCAGTAGTTGGGGGCTCTGTGGAGGGAAGCATGCAGTATTTGACCTGCTGAGCAAACATCTTGAAAATAAATTATGTCTTCACTCTATTCACTATACACTTCATGAACAGTTCAGGGAATAGTTCGAAATTGGAAATTAGATGCTTATTTGCTTATTTACCTAGAGTTAGATGAAAAGATCAATACCACTCTTATGTCAGCATGGTAAATATGAAGCTACCGCCAGAAGCTGCTTTGCATAGCTTAGCATAAAGACAGAAAGCAGGAGGAAACAGCGACTAATTGGCAACTCTAATGTGACTGACATTTTTACATCTTTCAAAATTATAGCATTTTTTTTATGCCTTACTATACTATGATGTTTTCTGATGTTTTTATGCCTAACTATACTATGACATTTTATGCCTTAGTGTACTATTATGTTTTTAGATGTTTTATGCCTTATTATACCAAGACGTTTTTTGACGTTTTTTTACTAAACTATGACATCTTTATGCCTTACTATACTAAGACGTTTTTATGACGTTTTATGCCTTACTATACTATGACGTTTTTATGACTTACTATACTATGTCGTTTTTATGACTTTTTATGCCTTACTATACTATGACTTTTTTATGACTTTCTATACTATGACGTTTTTATGCTTTACTATACTATGACGTTTTCATTACTTTTTATGCCTTACTATACTATGACTTTTTTATGACTTTCTATACTATGATGTTTTTATGCCTCATTATACTATCACATTTTTATGAATTTTTATGCCTTACTATACTATGACGTTTTTATGACTTTTTATGCCTTACTATACTATGAAGTTTTTGTGACATTCTATACTATGATGTTTTGATGTCTTACTATACTATGACGTTTTTATGCCTTACTATACTATGACGTTTTTATGACTTTTTATGCCTTACTATACTATGACTTTTTTATGGCTTTCTATACTATGATGTTTTTATGCCTTACTATACTATGACGTTTATGACTTTTTATGCCTCATTATACTATCACGTTTTTATGAATTTTTATGCCTTACTATACTATGACGTTTTTATGCCTTACTATACTATGACTTTTTTTATGACTTTTTATGCCTTACTATATTATGACATTTTTATGCTTTACTATACTATGACGTTTTTATGACTTTTTATGCCTTACTATACTATGACTTTTTTATGACGTTATTATGCCTTACTATACTATGACTTTTTTTTGACTTTCTATACTATGATGTTTTTATGCCTGACTATACTATGACGTTTATGACTTTTTATGCCTTACTATACTATCACGTTTTTATGAATTTTTATGCCTTACCATACTATGACGTTTTTATGCCTTACTATACTATGGTGTTTTTTTTTTTACTTTTTATGCCTTACCATACTATGTCGTTTTTATGACTTTTTATGCCTTATTATACTATGACATTTTTATGACTTTCTATACTATAACGTTTTTATGCCTTACTATACTATGTCGTTTTTATGACTTTTTATGCCTTACTATACTATGACATTTTTATGCTTTACTATACTATGTCGTTTTTATGACTTTTTATGACTTTATGACTTTTTATGCTTTACTATACTATGACGTTTTTATGCCTCACTATACTATGACATTTTATGCTTTATTTTATTATGACGTTTTTATGACTTTTTATGCCTTACTATACTATGATGTTTTTATGCCTTACCATACTATGAAAGTTTGACGTTTTTATGCCTTATTATACTATGACGTTTTTATGAATTTTTATGCCTTACCATACTATGTCGTTTTTATGACTTTTTATGCCTTACTATACTTCATAAATTCATAAAAACGTCATAGTATAGTATACTATGACGTTTTTATTCCTTTTTATGCCTTACTATACTATGACTTTATGACGTTTTTATGCCTTACTATACTGTGACGTTTTTATGCCTTACCATACTATGTCATTTTTATGACTTTTTATGCCTTATTATACTATGACATTTTGATGAATTTATGCCTTACTATACTACAAAAGTTTGATGTTTTTATGCCTTATTGTACTATGACATTTTTATGAATTTTTATGCCTTACTATACTATGACGTTTTATGTCTTACTATACTATGACTTTGACAATTTTATACCTTACTATACTATGAAGTTTTTATGCCTTATTATACTATGACGTTTTTTAATGTTTTTTTCCCTTACTATACTAGGACATTTAATGCCTTACTTTACTATGATGTTTTATGTCTTACTATACTATGACATATTATACTATGATGTTCTATGTCTTACTATACAATGACGTTTTTTGATGTTTTTAAGCCTTATTATACTATGACTTATGTATTAATGCCTTAATATACTATGATGTTTTTTGATGATTTTATGCTATACTATACTACGAAAGTTTTTGACGTTTTTATGCCTTACCATACTGTCGTTTTTGACTTTTTATGCCTTACTATACTATGAAGTTTTTATGCTTTACTATACTATTACATTTTTATCCATTACTATACATTGATGTTTTATGTCTTACTATACTATGATATTTTATGATTTACTATACTGTGAAATTTTTATGCCTTACTAGACTAAGACGTTTTTTTATGTTTTTATGCCTTATTATATACTATGATGTTTTTTGATGTGTTCATGCCTTAATATACAATGCAGTTTTTTGACGTTTTTGTGCCTTAATATACTATGACATTTTATGCCTCACTATACTATTACATTTTTGACGTATTTATTTTGACAAGAGCAGACTGCAGCGCATCATTCACTCTGCTGAGAAGGTGATTAACTGCAATCTGCCAACCCTCCAAGACTTGTACACCTCCAGGACCCTGAGGCGACCAGGAAAGATTGTATACGACCCTTCCCACCCTGAGAGACTGTTTGAGTTACTCCCCTCTGGCAGAAGGCTGGGGTCCTTCAGGACCAAAACTTCTCACAACAGAAACAACCTCTTCCCTACTGCAGTTGGCCTCATTATCGAAGCTCTGTTATTTTTCTATTTATTTTCTATAATATTTCTTCATGTTGTAAATATTGTATCTTATTGTTAAATTTTTCAATTCATATCAAAGACATCTCACTGCAATAATTCTTTGTTTCATCTTTGTTTATATTTCCTTCTTACTCTGTTGATTGTTATGCACCAAAACACAAGAGAAAATTCCTTTTATGTTGAAAACCTACTTGGCAATAAAGCAAATTCTGATTCTGACTCTGATTCTGTACAATGACTTTTTATGCCTTATTATACTATGATGTATTTATGACTTACTACTACAAAATAATGTCGTAATATATTAAGTATATTAAGGCATAAAAAGTCATAAAAACGTTATAGTTAAGTAAGGCATAAAAAGGTCATAGTAAAGTAAAGCATAAAAATGTCCTACTATAGCAAGGCTTGAAAAGTCATAAAAACGTCATAGTATAGTAAGGCAAAAAAAGTCATAAACGTCATAGTATAGTAAGGCATAAAAAAGATATAGTATAGTAAGGCATGAAAACGTCATAGTATAGTAAGGCATAAAAAGTCATAAAAATGTCATAGTATAGTGAGGCACAAAAAGTCATAAAAATGTCATACTATAGTAAGGCATAAAAACGACATAGTATAGTAAGGTATAAAAAGTCATAAAAAAGTCATAGTATAGTGAGGAATAAAAAGTCATAAAAAAGTCATACTATAGTAAGGCATAAAAACGACATAGTATAGTAAGGCATAAAAAGTCATAAAAACGTCATAGTATAGTAAGGCAAAAAAAGTCATACTGTAGTATGACAAAAAGTCATAAAAACGTCACAGAATAGTAAGGCATAAAAACATCATAGTATAATAAGTCATAAAAAGGTCATAGTATAGTAAGGCATAAAAAGTCATAAAAACGTTATAGTAAAGTAAGGCATAAAAACGTCATAGTATAGTAAGGCATAAAAACGTCATAGTATAGTAAGGCAAAAAAAGTCATACTGTAGTATGACAAAAAGTCATAAAAACGTCACAGTATAGTAAGGCATAAAAACATCATAGTATAATAAGTCATAAAAAGGTCATAGTATAGTAAGGCATAAAAAGTCATAAAAACGTTATAGTAAAGTAAGGCATAAAAACGTCATAGTATAGTAAGGCATAAAAACGTCATAGTATAGTAAGGCAAAAAAAGTCATACTGTAGTATGACATGAAAAGTCATAAAAACGTCACAGTATAGTAAGGCATAAAAACATCATAGTATAGTAAGGCATAAAAAGGTCATAGTATAGTAAGGCATAAAAATGTCATAGTATAGTAAGGCATAAAAAGTCATAAAATAGTAAGGCATAAAAACGTCATAGTATAATGAGGCATAAAAAGTCATAAAAAAGTCATAGTATAGTAAGGCATGAAAAGTCATAAAAAACTCATAGTATAGTGAGGCATAAAAAGTCATAAAAAAGTCATACTATAGTAAGGCATAAAAACGACATAGTATAGTAAGGCATAAAAAGTCATAAAAACGTCATAGTATAGTAAGGCATAAAAACGTCATAGTATAGTAAGGCAAAAAAAGTCATACTGTAGTATGACATAAAAAGTCATAAAAACGTCACAGTATAGAAAGGCATAAAAACATCATAGTATAATAAGTCATAA